AAAAAAAGTTGGTGTAACTCAGATTTGATTTTCAAAGGAGACTGCATTGACGTGTTTGCTGTAAATTTCCACACTTCCCTGCCTTGGATAATTAATTTCAGAGAAGTCAAACGATAAGCAAAGCAGACACAGGAGTGAACTGCTCCCCGTTTGTACCAGTAAGTTTATGTTTAATATTTACCAGCATTCAGCAGCTTTCCCAGGAAAAAAAAGTAGATTTTGTTTAGTTCAATAAAAGCTATAAGATTAAATTGAAAATAAAAAATTACTTTGTTTCTGGCAGAGGGGTGCTAGGTAAGTATATAGAGCTGCTGCTAGCCCCTGTATACTGCCCGCCATATATGGTGTATAATTCCATCCGTCACAGTAAAGCTTCGTTAACCATAGGTTACATCCCCTATACACAGAAATAAATTCTTGAAAGATCTGATTTGGACAGACTGTTACTTTAATCTTTTAAGATAGTGCTGCAGTCACAGGATGGATGAAAGAGAATTCCACATTTTCAGAAAGCGTACACTTCCTCCTAGGATTTCTGTAACCATGGTAACATATAGAGATAGCAGGGCTGATTTCAACCTATTTTTCATCATTCCAGCAGTAAAGAAATAGATTCTATAAATACCACCCTAGCCACTGGAATAAAGTACTGGCCTTTTACTTCCCTATTAAAAAAAAAAAAAAAAAAAAAAAGGAGGTTATATGTTACTGCAGTTTACCAAACATTCATATAACGTGCCAAAATCAGTTCCGTAATAGAACAATGTGGGATGTCTTGCCTGATAAGCCCCATAGCCCCAGTGAAGAAGGGGAGAGTATCAGATTTTAATGAAGGCAAAATAAATATGAATGTGCTCAACAGAACTTAAACTTGAAATTAAAAAAAAAAAAAGCACCCCCATCAAATTTTCATGTGTTTTATTTAGGTGAACATACACATGGTCCACATACTCAATGAAAATAGTCATAAAATAATTTAAGAACTTACGTTGAAAGGTAGTAGCAGCACCATCAGTATTGGAATAGCATAAAATTTGTGCCTCTGTAAGGCATACATTTATGCCTGGATAAAAATGCCATCGTTTGTAACAGGGGATGGGAATGGCTTTAGAGGATGCTTTTGGGAGTCAGAGTTTTAAAACACACTTTTTTGCTAAATACTTTGACGATTAATGTTACAAAAAATACAACTAAATAAGATACTGCATAGTATTTTAATTAACATAAAGAAATCAACATTGAGCTGTGTAAAGCAGGACTCAACATCTCTGCTTCCACGTACATTTCATTTCTGAGTAGAGAAATCTAAAATTTAAAAACAAAATATAGACCTAGTGTATTCTCTAAAAGACACACTTTAGGTGGAACGTATAGTACTACGAAAATACATATCTTCCATTCTGTTTAATAATTTACTTTAGTTAAAAAGTTGTGAAATTCTCATCACAAGAAGCGTATACAAATTCATGACTTTAGTAAATTAACAAAAATGATTATTTTTTTAAAACAAGGTTTAGCCCCGCTGTAACAATTATACAAGGAAGAAAAGAGACTACATTTATACGAAGGAATACAAATTTACACACATTTTACAGTGACTTATACCCTACACATCTACAAAATTCACAGTTATAATACAAGCAAGTACAAGGCTGGGATAAAGCTGTTTGATACCAAAAAAAGTTTCTACTTTAAAAAAAGATAAACAGGAAGAGTTTCAGACTTCTGCACCAACTTTAAAATTCTAACCAGACCAAAAGACACTTCCTTACAAAAACGCCCCTCAGCAAACGCAGACCGCTTTCCTGGGCGGGTGGAAGAGGGAATTGCTGAGCTTCTTCTGGCCCCGCAGGCTGCGCCGCATGGTCAGCTTGTTTGAGTTTTTGCGCTGTGGAGTTGCGGACATGCCTTCTGGTTGGACACTAAGGTTTCGACTCAGGCCACGTCTTGGCTTCTTCACAGCTGGGCCAGAGTTGGATTCTTCCAATGTCCTTTTAAAGTTTGCTGTGGGTGTCCTCTCTGCATCTTGGGCTTTTGTTTGGCCATTAGGGGACACCTTGAAGCCTTTTTGGTCCGTGCCTGAATTTGCGGAGTTGGAAGGGGAGAGACTGAGTGACAAACCATTACTGTAGGAGTCGTGTATCCTCAAAGCCAATGCTTTGCTGCACTTCTCCTCCTGCGGACCTGAATCCTTCGGGGTTGCTCCTGATGAAGGTAAATTGCTTTTAGCAATCTCATTTGTTAGCTCTAAATATTTTTCTGAGATCATGTTGCTATGCATGAGGGGAGGAATACCCTCAGAAGCATTCAGTCGTGGCCATGGATCATCTTCTAAAAGCTGAGGAAAAACAAAACAAATATTTAGGCATAAATACAACAATTTCACCTGCATTATCCTTTGAGGGTAGAGACAGTATGTGACAGAACAGATTTTCCTCAGTAGCATTTTCCAACACGCAGACGTGGTGATATAAGCACCTGTACTGCCTTCTGAAGGTTTTACACATCAGAGAACAAGCACTATTAGGGCAAACAGCAGGAAAAGTCTTCTGACCTTTGTTACACTCAGAATTCTTGGTTACTACATAACCAAATTATCAGGGAGACTGACAAGCTCATCACGGGTGTCCTGACTGCATACAGAAAGGTGGAGCATCAGACAAAGCTATTCTAAAAACAGAGTTACTGTTTGCCCTGCAAAGTAACGCATTTTTATTGCCTGGTTTTATGCTCTACAACTTGGAAAGAAAGCAACTCCGTTCCTCACAGCACATCCACCCACTCTCTCTAAAGCACAGTCATTCCAGACATTTACAAGACACTGCTTAATGTGATGTCCTGACAACTGGGGACTTCTTAAATTTTTACCCTACATTCAGCTGCTCATCTCTTCTGCAGCCTTTGGAAAGTGTTTTTGCCTCATTCTCAGTTTTACCAACAGGAAAACGGGGACAATACTTGCTTTCACTATCCACGGGAGGATTATGAAAATTAGTATTCATGCAGTGCCCTGAAGATATGAATTATGACCTTATTAAGATTTAATTGTGAGGAAATCCCTAGTTACTCAGCGAGTCCTTCAAAAGTAAATTTCAAGGTCACATTACATGCCATCAAGGTAAGGCAAATGACAGTGACTATTTTAAGAAAACAACATGCTGGAAACTCAAATGCACACACAGCTGAGTAAATGAAAATACAAGGAATCGATAGATGCTTTTGAAGCAACCCAGAACAACTTCAGTTCACCTTCAAGACAAGATGCACAACTGCTCAGCGCTTTTGAAAATTCTAATACTATGTTTTCATAAAATGCACTCTGTGAAAAGAGAAAATCTGAATTGTTCCTAGCATCTAGACATGGTTTTCCACTCCCCGCTCATCCCTTGTCACTCCCCATGTGTGGATAAAACCATTTAGATAATATTCTTCTACTACAGCAACACAAGAGGGAAGACCTGCATGGATGGTATTTTAGAGGTTTATTCTTCAACCCACAAGCAAGCTAGATGACACACAGAGAAGCTCTGGCAATGTTACTTAATCTGCTCAATTTAATTTTTGAAATTGTGTCTCTAGCCACAACTTTAGTTTTGTTTTTATTGTGCAAGATGCTTAATGTTGTGGCTCCTACTGCCAACATCTTTTGCTTGGTACAAACAGCTGAGATTGGATACGGCTTTGGGAAGCCAAGTGAAGTCAGAGGATAGACTGCTAAAGAGTGATGCAACAAAACAAGAAAAGTAAAACATGAATCACCAATTTCATTTCTCAACAACTTTGTTGTTGAAGAAAATTGTTGCCAGAAGAATACACAATTAAGAAATACTTCTGTTTGAGAAACTTTGATTTGGTCTCCATCTATTTCCAGATTACTTGTTTTGGAAGGTAGCAGGGGTTAAGAGTCAAGGCTGTCTGTGCTGCTTTCAGTTCTCTGAAGGTACCAGGCAAGTACCCTTTCCATTGCCACCTCCTGTTTTTGCTGACCTGGCCCCTCTGGGCTATAATCCCACCACAGTCTCCAGAAGCTCAGGCTGATCGGGGGAACCACCACTTTCCAGAAAATACGATGATCCCTCTTCAATAGAATGCCACAGTAAGTTTGTGGAGATTAATTACCAACATAAATTCGATCATATCTTTATGTGCAGCTTTTTGTATCAAGGTATTTATGTATTGTTTTGCAAAAAGAAATTGTCATCTACTGCCATGTTCTCTTTTGTGCAATCACCAGAATGGGGCTTTTCCCTCCTGTGAGGTTGACAATATCACTAGGATCACACAGGATCAGGAAATAAGGGCATTTCCTGAATCTCCCACAAGTTACCACCATCAGAAAAAAATTCCAAAATGCATATTCTCAAATAGTTGTGTAGCGATACTTCATAAAAAACTGTCACCTTGTAATAATGTCTGAGGCAAGGCATAAGAAACCATACATTCAACCTTCTTTGGGGAGAGTCCCAAATGCCTCAATTATGTTTCACACGATTTTAAAGAAACACCAAGCCAGCAGTGCTCCTGCATGCACCAAATTGTACCCAGGAGGCTCCCCTGAAGTCAGAGGGCTGTAGAAATGAAAAGCCTACAGTCCAGCCATCAGATGACCAACATTTATGGAAATATGTTTTTCCTTCCATTGCAACTCTGATAAACCTCCTCATACTATGAAAAAGTCAATATTACTCAGGATGGTGTGGTTACCAAATATACTTACAGACAGCTACACAAAGTTTTTGTTTTAGAAAAAAAATGTACACAGAGACACAACAGCTAAGACATTTCATTTATTTTGATCTGCCTGGAGATGCTTGGGTTTTTTTCTGAAGTATTTCAAAATTATTCTGACAGAACAGCTGTCTTTTCCTGCCTCTTTTCTTTTCAACTTCCTTCTCACACTTCTTCTGATATTGACAGATAAGTGTGTGAGGACAGCTGGATGCTTATTATTAAAGCAGAAACCTGTATTACATTAGTACTTTTAATAAAAACAAGTACTGAGAAAATAGGATCTATGTTTCTAAATTGGTGATACCAGTTCTATTTTAATCCAAGAGGAGAAAAAAACTTTTGCATTAAAATAGAACTAATTTATACATATATTACCAATGAAGACCTGTAGCCAGTCAAAAATTTTTTGGGGGGTTTTGCATATTAGACCAAAAAAAAAAAAAGGCCTTATATGCATGGCAGACACCAAAATTGTTACATGTCTGAAGTTTTGATGTCTTCACTCTTTGTGACCACCTGCTGCAATTTATCTAGATTGACACATCACAGTTCACTGATCTATTTAGACAAGGGGGGACTCTTAAGAAAAAAAAAATTATTTTCACTAAGCCCTTATCCAGAGATGCTGCTTCCTGGATATTTTGCAGTCAACATAGCTCGAGGTTTATTCAATGAGTACTGATAACAGATCATACACAAAAGATATGGTACAAGTTTAGGAGCATTTAGAATTCAAATAATTTTTCACCACTCAAGAGTTTGCTAGATTTTAGTCTTTTGATGTATTTTGCTCTACTGGATGTAAGTGAAGGAGACAGAAAGGTTGAGCTTGCCATTTTATTAGCAGCTTGTTTCTACCAAGGGAATGTTAACGACTCCCTTTCTAATTTTTGCTTTCTTTTTACTTTGCCCAAAGGACAGTTATCCAAAGATACTGCAGAACATCAAAGGACAGTTACTTAAATCAGGAGCAGCTGGTAATTACTGAAACAAACATCCACTCATAACTACACTCTAGTTCTTAGAGGGAGGAAAAAAAAAAGCTTCTGAACAGCTCTGTTTTGTTCTGCTTTATGTTAATGGTTGAAACATGTAACTTGAAGAAAGACCTTGTATTATAACATCTTTCCCTCCAACAAAGAGCATTAAGTCAACCAGAGGAAGATCAGATGATCTCCCAATCCAGAAAGGAAACATTCTTTACCACAATGTGTGTTTGAATAAATTAACTCATGGGTTACCTAAAAAAAAAAACCCACAAGCAAACAAAACCGAAACAAACCACACCAAGATTAAGAACACATCCACTAGCAGTCAGCAATTCATCAGCTGTACAAGGGATATAAGTCCATGGGAAGGGAGGAAAAGAAACCGTAGCGCAACCTTATTTTCTAAGGGGTTGTGTTGGGTTTGTTTCTTTTTCAAACCTCTGATCCCCACAGTCTGCTTCCTCTCTTCCAATAGCCTCCTTCTGATTTTGTGTGGGATCTTGGAAAACTCACTTTTAAGAAACAGTGCATTTACAGCTGTGAGAACTATATGCATAAAGTTACAGGAATAATTTCTTCTACATGAAGGAGGGAATACAGATCAACCACTACTAATAAACAAGCAGGATTTTAAAAGTTACAAAAACAGTGTATCCCTTAATTCAGCAATTCTGAGACGTTCACACTCTAATACTCTCTTTTGGTGTTCCAAAGTCTTTTAAGAAATATTGTTAAAACTTCATCTATTCCTCCAAAGCTTTCTAAGTAGAAGTACTGAGGATCAGGCCAGGTAATTGCCATGTAGCCATACTGTACTGCCTACTCCACTGCAGTTAAAAGACAAAACAAACAAACAAAGCAACATTAAATAGTGGCTTCAGCTGACAGGCCTGTAGTTTCTAAAAGTATTACTTTGATCACTGGCAACACCGTTGCCCCAATCCTACACATCATGGGAAGCTGCATAAAAATAAATTACTACTAGGAGAAGAGAGATTGTTATGTATTTATTGGGTTCCACACTCAAAAGTGGAACATTTAAAACAAGTTACCTTGACAGGTGGGGTAGAGCAGCGGGAGGGTGCCATGACATTCATATCAGGGCTGCTATAGCAGGGACTCTCTGCCAAGTTGAGATACAATTCTTCTTCATTTTCCAAGTTGCTTTTGCTATCCTGCAAAGGTGAGATGCAGATGACGATGGCACTAGTGTTATCTGCACGAAGCATGCGCTGCCTCCACCGGCCTAGTGCTCTGTTCACCAGCATTTTGGCACAAGACTGTCGGTGCTCTCCCTTTAGGTTAGAAGAGGGGGACAGACAGAGAAAGCAATCAGGTCCAATTTATAAATAGAAGACGGAGAGTTTATGTGGCGCAGCCTGAAATATATATTCCTGTATATCACGTGCTTAAAGTAGCTTGATTCAGAAACACAAGAGGAAATATTAACGTTATCTTTCTTCTTGGTGAAATATAACTTTAACATCAGTTTACAGCAGAATCCATGTATATGTAAGTGCTTTAAACCATAAAACTGATGCGATGACTCGCATAATTAGCCTGAGCATAGCACATCCTACAGTCTTTCCAGAAGTCTCTCAATGGGTTTACAGACTGTTCACTATCTGATGCTCAGATGCTCCACTATGTAAGTTCTCAACTGTTTTGTAAAATAAATCATTCAATTCAGATTTTGTACAAATCATGTAAAAACCAATAAACAATTGTCTGCATTGTAACATGCGTCTTAATGTGAAATAAATCTCATTTTCAGACAGTATTGTGTATAACTTCCTCCAATAAGGAACACGTTATCTTCTTTATTACTCACAGATACTATACTGGTAGTAAAATTTCCCAAAAAAACCCCACCAAGTAATACGAACAATGTGAACAGGCAGGGTACTTGACAGTAGCAAGCACAGTATCAGCCACATTGTAACATCTTACATGGTGTGGCCAAGCTGTGAATATGCCTAAACATCAATGCCATTGTTAGGTTCTTCTCATACCCAGAAAAATAATCAACTTTTAGAGGAAAAAAGTATTTCATTTTCACAATTACTTATAGCCACTGCTCTCACCATGAAGCATTTTCTCTCCTCGTGATCCTGGCACATGGAGATAGCATCTTGAGGTGGGATCATGTTCCACAGTCCATCACTGCCAAGGATAATATATTTGTGTTTCTGGGGATCAATCGTGTGCACACTAGTGTCAGGTTCAGGAGACACAACAAATTCACCGCTGTAGAAGTCATAGCTCCAAAGATCACCTAGCGAAGAAGAACATGGTTTTGAGTTGCTACATTACACATGAAAACATGAATCTTTATCTGCCTTTCCAGTTATTGGTACAGTTTAAATACTGGAGACAAAATCCTTCCCTCTTGTCCAGGGAACCATGGTACAGTTCACAGAACTAGGCTGGGGTTGGGGGGAGGATGATACAAAACCCTTTTTCTCCCCAACCTTACATACAGCATTAGACTTCAGTCTGTATCATGATGGTATGCTGCCTCACACCCCCTAACAAGTCCGGCTCATAGAAGAGGGGAAAAAAACCCATCAAACCCCAAATTAAAAAAAAAGACACCTTTTCACACTCAAGGTGTTAAACTGCCCTTTTTTAAAAAAACAAAACAAACCACCAGAGATCCTCCACAGCCATCCAAGCAATAGAGATACACACAGTTATGTCTTGCCACGTACGTATTTGTGATGCAGGTACCTCAGAGAAGGATCAAAGGAAGAGGGCAAAGGAGAAGAGACTGAAGCCTTTCCCCTATTAATTTCTCTTTCCCATTCCTCCTTCAGCAGCATTAGCACCACTTTCAAAGCCCTGCAGCACTGTGTTAGAGCATCTTTCCAGCTGAACACCATGTGCCAAGTTTTGGAGTTGGAGAAAAGCCACAGGAACATGAGCAGTGCCGGGGTTCCAGCAGGAAAGCAGAAAAATGAGAGCTAAAGCCTCTCTCCCTTGGAAGGCCTCACGCAGTGAACCTTTCTATTTTTAAACCTTTCTTGCTATGCGCCTGAGTGTGGGGTCACCTCGCCAGTAACGATGGCCTGAGCTGGATCGGAATAACACATTCGATCAAAATATCTATGAGTTCAAGTGCTTCCTCCAAACCGTCCTGAAGTAAAAGTCACTCCAACAGAAAAATGCATTTCCATATAAATTTATTTTCATTTCATTTATCAGGTATACTTGGAAAAAAAAAAAGCTTTTACCAAGGACAGGCCTTGGTGTTATGTTGGTGTTTTCTTCCTGTTTATTTTTTATGTTGATACATAGCTTCCTATAGTGAGAAGCAACAAAAAGTAACATCATTATTTACAACCACTGGCTAGAATTTTCTGTGCAGAACACGACTCTAAAAGTAAAAATTAATTCAAATGGCAAAGTTGAAAAACATACAGAAGCTTAAGAACTCCGGTTTTGTGAGGTTTTTCTTCTTTGCTTTTTGCTGGCTTCAGAAAGCATGCCTGTAGCCTTCTTCTGCATCCATCACCACCCTTTTAAAGATATCAAATAAGCTTTTTGTCTTCCTACTTCCTTCCATTAGCTTTGCCTCAAGCTATCAACCATTTGAAAAGACTTCCAGAATCAGGACTAGGAATACTTCAACCCAATTACTCCACTTCACCACAGCAAGCACGGATGGTCCATCCTCATTAAAGCACCAATTCACCTTCACTGCAGCAGCAGCAGACACAAACACATGCTTCTAATAAGAGCTAATTAAAAGCCAAGCCTGCTTGTATAGAGGTGCACTCTCCCTCGGCAGACTCTCAACAAGCAAGCCAGCTGGCAACAAGATCAAAATACTGTAACAGAGGAGCTGAGCTCCAGCACAGCAATTATTGTACGTGAACTGCCACAGAAAGTCTTCGTGCGCTGAGAGTTCTTCGCATCACGCCTGTCATGGACACAGCAGGTAAAATAAACAAGAGCTTGGGATCTTACAACAGCCAGATCTTGGAATCAGTGGCAGCATCAATTTCCAACACGCGTAGTATTTTTATACTTTTATTTGCTAGTTCCCTCGTACTCATTTAGGAGAAATAACAAATGTTACCAGCTGAATCTTTTTTTAATTAAAAATACTGTGCTGCATGATAAAAATAACCTGATGCTATTTAATTTTGATTCATCTTACATACATGTCATCACACCCATCTGCTGCTCCTCCTGAGAAAACAGCTGAGTAATAACCATACCCATTTCAGAGAATCGTTCTCCTAGAGGAAGAAGGCTCCTCATGGGGATAATCGGGAATGTCACACTGGTTATAAAGGGGATGCCAAGGATTATACAGAGATTCTGGGAACACACACCGTGAATCCACACCTCACAAATCCCAGGTCAAACTCCTAAGCAGAAGCCCAGCCTGAAAAGCTACTGAAAGCCTTTCAACCTCGGTGTCTCTCCTCCACAGCGAGTTGCCCTTCTGAAGGCCATGGAGGAATCATACACGGAGGTGTGGGCTTGACACAGGAATTAATTGCTGGCGTGCCATAACCTGCGTTAGAACCGCTGCCACACTACCTGGTAACAGTAGCTCAACTAGCTCAAGGACTGACAACTTCAAAGACTAAGTTTATTAAACATGCTTTTTTTGGCAAAATACATTCTTTCAAGTCATCTCCTGTAGCATCAACTCTGTCAAAGCAGCATTGCAAGTTTGCTGTAAATGTACACTGAGAAGTGAATTCTCCACAAATTTTAAATTCAGCTGTACACATCTATTCACGCTCAAAAATCTCTAGGAAATACGCATTTCCTAGAATAGAGAAATAACTCATTTACAAAGTCGTACAATGGAACAGCATTAAAGCACAAACAGTTATTAACTGGCCACCTCCAGACAAGTCAGGAGCTACTGAAAGCTAAATGGAGCTCTAGATGTCACAAAATGAATAAATGAATAAATAAATAAATAAAGTTTTTACTCTTTGACCCAGGAAAAATTCCATAAAGTATATTTGAAGCCTAAGACATATAGAAAAATCCAGGTTCTTCCTTCCTCAGCCTGTAAGGAAATGACTAGTACATGCAACTGTCCTAAAGAAAAGGGAAAATTGCCCCCAGTGTTCATCTATCATCAGTCTGCTCCCAAAAACCCACAAACTCAAACTAATCAAGCAGGCAAGTGATCCTTGATAGAACTGCACTGCATAAAGAGTCCTTCCCTTAAAGAATAATTCTCACAGACCCTTCAACTCCAAGCTAGCAAAGGCCAACCCATGCCACTAGGGTGATGAACTATTTTTTTTTTACTTCCCCCCCCCCCTCCAAAGGGCAGAGCACCACAGAGTTAAGTCAACGCTTTTTAGAGCTGCTGCATAGATAGAATACTAATGTCAGCTGTATGTCTTGCTCCAGCCAGCTGGAGAGCACAGCCTCCACAGCAGCTGAGGAATACATGACAAACTTTGGGAGAGTCACTTTACACAGCACCCTCTGTTACAATTCTGGGAAGGAACAAGGGAGAGGAAAGTAAGCCAGAAAGTCAAGTACCCTTTTCCTTAGGTGTTTTGAAGTGCTCTGAAATCTTTAATTTGTCCCAAAGCAAGCAGACAGACAAGCGACCCTTCAGCAGACTGGGAAGCTGAGATACCAAGATGACGTGATATGCCAAAGGCTGGTATTACAGAACTGGAATGCCAGGCTCTCAGACTTCACTTTCTGAGCCATGCTATTTTTGTTCTGAATTAAAAAACAAACATTTGCAAAACTTAACAATCTTGTTCTCTTAAAAACTTACAGACCAGTAATACTTCTTTCGGTGTTAGGCTTGTACATTTGTTTTCCAAACAGAAAAAAAAAAAAAAACAACCAGTATTAATGTAGTTCCTTCCATATCTTCCAGAAAAATCATGCCTGTTCCTTAGTCATGACTTGAACCAGAATAACATACAAAGATCTACACAAAAACTACACCGCATCTTACAAAATCAAAACTAGATGTTTAAGATCATATAATAAAGGAGCAGGAAACTAATTTAGCTACCTATAAGAATACAGCAAAAGATGCAGTCCCTCTTATCTGCTTACTATTACCTTTTAAAATACAATTAAAAAAAACCTACTTGCAACTCAGCTGCTGCCAGCAAAGTAACAAACAAAAACACCCATCACATAAGCAGACTGGAATGGATTAAGACCAAAGCCTTCTATAAGAAAAGTATGCCCAGAAGTCATATAAATCAAGCCTTTCATTTGTGTTTCTGGAACATGCTGGTTTGAATACAAAATATCTTTTGGTTTTAATAGAGGAAAGAAAAGTTTACTTTTATAAATCAGTCCAAAACAAAAACCCAGTTTGATTAATCCCAGATATTTTTAAATCAAAGTTTTATCTCCAAGGTCTCTTAGTACAAAGAGAAGACTTACAGAACTTCCTTTTTTCACTGCCAATGAGGCAGGGCTGCTAGGAAGTGAGAGAAATTTCAGCAAGGATACAGACACGAACCACTTAAAACCATTCAGGCTGAGCTGAGGTGGAAAATGTTTTCAACCAAAACTCATGGCAACCTAGTCCTATAGCCACGAGAGGGCATCTTCACAGCAGCCGAAAGATGAATGCCGCACAACGTCCCATTCATGCAACCCAGGAACAACTAAAGACAGCTCAGTCTCGGGGATGAGGACAAAACTGAAGTTAGCAGCGAGCAGAAAAGTTACCCAGACAGCACTTGAGGCTTTAAAACTGTCCCTACTCCTTTAGGAGTACTTTTTTTAGGAGCTTCTTTTTACACAGTACTTCAGTCAAACCTGTTGAAAGAATGCAACCTTCAATACTATATAGAAAAGGAAAGCACAGGCAAGAGAACAGTATTTCAACAGCAAATTAAACAAATAATTGCATTTAAAATGAATGGTGAAGTAAAAGCTGCTCTCAAGGCAGTCTTCACTATGACGGCTCATCTCTGCTTGTATGTTAGCAAAATCACAGGCAAGAGAGAAAAAAGCTGTCTGTCAGGTGCTACACACCAGAGCACACAGCATGAGAAAAGCCCGCAAGAACTAGTATGCAAAGGTACAGGTGCAGAGCTAAAATGGCATCCAGGAAGCTACTCACAATTTCTGGCCTTGAATTAAATCCTTCAAATGAACACTAAGGTGGAATTTCAAGCTTCAAAAGACAATGCTAGACAGCATTTGCTTAGCTGAAGACAAGGGGTAAAACAGAAGAAATGCTCTGACCAAACCTGGATAAAGTTCTACCTTTAGGAGAAAGGTTTTATTATTGCTTTTCTTTCTTTGCTCTGGAAAACAGCTTCTGTATCACAGTCAGAGCCAACATTGTAGCAGCTATACACTGAGCGGTCACATTTCTGGTACACAACTCTTTGTA